AAATGAATTACAGTAGATGGGATAGAGAGAGAAGATGGGAGGAGAGGGGAGGGGAGGGGCAGGGGGATAGTAAAGGATAGGAAGGGCAGCAGAATACAACAGACACTAGTATGGCAGTATGTAAAAAAGTGGATGTGGAACCGATGTGAATCTGCAATATGTATACGGGGTAAAAATGGGATTTCATAATCTGCTTGAATCAAATGTATGAAATATGATATGTCAAGAGCTTTGTAATGTTGTGAACAACTAATAATAAAAGAAAGAATCAAAAATAAATAAATAAATAAATAAGTACTTGAGACTATAAAAATGTACACTTACTGGAATGGATATTATTTTAAACTATTACATTGTTTAATCTTGGAAAACTAAAGCCTTCACAGATTACCTAATCCAAAGTCTTCAGTTTATAAGCAATATAATTTACAGATAATCTAGCACTGGGTCATAAGCCATGTTTTTCTGATTTCAAATTTAGAATGCTTTCCCAATCTTCCATAATATCCTTTTTCTATTTTTATCTCCTAGTGTGAATGAAGATTTAGAGAATCAGTTTTGCTTTTAATAGAGTGCTAGGGTGAGTCAGAAGAAATAAATTTAAGTCACATTGAGCATACTAAAAAAAAGAAAGCAAAACAAACCCAAAAAGTGAGTGAAAAGATTGCATAAAATATTGTGTCTGTAATTTGAATATAAATATGGTCATTTTCAAGAATTGTCTGGGAATTACATATATTTATATTTATGAATTCTTTTTTTCCATAATAGGACTTTCTCCCAGATTGACATGGTCCTAAACTGGAGCACTGCAACCTTACAGTTACTCAGAATAAAATCATGTGTTCTTTAGAAGAAGTTACAAAAGAAATCAGGGATTTCATTTCTCTGGTCATTTTTTTTTTTTTTTTATCTCTTACACATTCTAGCTACAAATGTGACTTTTTCTTGGTTCCTTTTTTGTTTCCTCAATGTTATATGAATTGCTTGGTTAAAATATTAAATATTTGGATTTTTATAATATTATAAAGTCAGTGAAATTTTACAGTTCTTAGAACTTGTAGAATCATGATTTTGCTTCCATCCTCAGGTTTATAAGAATTAAACTTGAAGTGGACCAAAATGCAAATAACCTTTCAATTTAGTATGACACAACACCTATACACACATGCAATTTCTTGAGAGTGGTTTTTCATCAGATTTCTCATAGCAGTATATGAGGAAATTATTAACTTTAGTAAAATGGGTCAATATTTCTCTTAGATGTACCCCACTATAAAAAAGTCACAACTAAAATGTGGGACATCATTTCATTCTGTGCTAAATTTTCTTAAAATATATCTCTGTGAGAATTTTGTTAAAAAGAAGACAATATTTTCATGGTTCACATGCTTGAACTGACTTTCATAGGTCCTCCTTCTTTTCTGTTTTAAAACAAATGTCCCAGTGACATATATCTTTATTTTTCTGAAGCTGGAATTGTGGCAGATACTTCACAAGCTGCAATTGTAAAGGATTTGTAATTTAACGTAGTAACCTCTAATTTTGTTAAAATCAAGATGTCAGATTTTAAGTTTTTAAAGATTTATTCATTTGACTGATTTTTCTTCATAACATAGACTGCCTCAGGCCCCCAAATTTTGCTTATGTACTTAGAGAGCTTATTAGGAAAGAAACTATATGAAGAAAGCAATCAAATATGTCTTCTCCTTTGTGCAACAAAAAGAACAATGAATGCCCTTTGTTGTAGGTCGACCACATGCTTCTATATCACATTTCACTAGTATGTATAGTTCATTGGCTTAATGAGCTAGCCAAAGAAACAAAAAGAAGTCTTACGTTTTTCTTTTTCTTTCCTATCTAGTGTGTTTGTTTTATGTTTGGTCTTTTGGGTATCAAGTGTCTCAAGCTTTTCTGTTAAGATTACATAAAGTGCAGACTTACTAGAATGAATAATATTTTAACTTGTCATTTTTTACTGTTTGATAGCTAAAGACTTACTTTCACAGATTATCTAGTCCAAAGTCTTTATCTGATATGCAATATAATTTATAGATAAACTAGGACTCTGTCAGAAATTAAATTCTTCTGATTCTAAATTTAGTAATTGTCAGTCCTTCACTTCTCTCCAGTTCTCTCTCTCTGTGTCCCACATTTTGGACTTCCCTAATTGATTGAATCCCCCTTCACAGTCTGTTCACGACATCAAGATCCAAGAGGAACTTCTGCCTTTTACTCCCCATACAACATCTTTTTAATTGAGTCCCTTTTATAAGGCTAGTGCCATTAATAATTCTAGTCAGGCTGTGGAAAATAAATAGTAATTATTTCAGTCCTATGCACCTCACTACGGGAGGGGTGATTTCCTTATTTGGTCACAGATTCCTTCAGATTAGGATCATATGTTACCCCCTCCTTATGGTAGTCATTCTCTTCCTCCTCGTCCTCCTCCTTCTTTTCTTTTTCTTTTTACCCTTCCTCCCTTACTTCATTCCTCCTTTCAACCATCCCCTCCCTCTCTTTCTCCTGTTCTGTGATGTTGTTTCAGGGTTGAGGATCAATGAACACGTAAATAAGAAGTGGGTTATTGAGGAGAAACACCTGCTAACATCTTCTCCTTGTTGCCCCTATTCCCTGAGAATCGTCTTGTCACTGATGATATTATGACTTTGGGTTAAATGAACTGGATATAACTACCATTTCCCCTATATTCTAGATACTTTAGTTATTGGAATGACAATAGATATTCCTTGATCCAGACACCAAACAATAAAAGCATAGATTCAAATGACTATGAGTTATCCATATCTCTTCTGTTTATCATGAAACAGTCTTCCCTTTTCCTTAATTTATGCTCTTTAGATTAGAAAAGAGACCTGAAAATTTATTTAACCTTAAAAATTTTACCAATATTAGAATTTTCGCCCATCTGTTTACCTGATAAAAGGTACCACTAAATCAAACTTCTGAATTCTCTATAAACAGAGAAATTTGTATCTTAATTATCAGTGGTCCAGGTGTAGATGTATACATAGAATAGAAAGATAATCACCTCATATTGAGTATATAGAGACTAAAATGAAAATCATAAATTCAAAAAATGAGGATATTGTAAGAAATATTCTATTTTGATAAGAATATCATTAGTAGAGAATCAGGTGTAAATGTTTATGTCTGAGAAAACACGAATAGGGATTTTTCTCTGCTCAAGCCAGACAACTGGCATCATAATTTTTGAATGCTAAAGGTTTGTTCTACTGATGTTAAAAAATGACAAATATACAACAACAGATTCTAAACAGCTTATAATGGTTATTTTACCATTACATTTCCTGTTTTAAAAATTACTATTTACACTGATATGAACATAATATTTGGTGATATATTTACCTTTAAATGATGCCAAACTGCAAAAATGCAGTTAATTTAAATGAAACTGGAACATTTGAATATGATTGTTTGGTTTGGCTGTGACAATTCCTTGTATTCTAATCATCTATGAATATTATTCATATGACATTTCTAGAGCACTCTGTATTGCAGAGGGCCCTACATTTCATTCAGCTAAGTTTGAGATATATACTGGGTATAAGTATACTGTTTCTTCTCAGTATTGAGAAGCTGAGTGCTATAAAATTTCATAATTTCAGGTCTCAAGTGAAATAGGACAAAGAATTGATAATGAAAATCATTAGATCTTTTTTTTTTTGCTTCATGTTTAAGTAATATTTTCCTTTGTGATACAGTAACATGTAACCGACAGTGACTTGTAATTCTTTTCTTTTTTTTCCCCACATTTCAGGTTCTTTTTGAGTTATTAACTTTCTTTTCTTTTAATCTAAATGGAATGCTAAATAAATTCTGTTCATTACCAACCCAGGCAAGAAACTACCTTGTGTTAAAACATATTTCCACTAGTTTCTAGGTCCTCTTGATGCTCTTCCACATTGACTACATGTCTAAGAAGTAATCACCTTCAAATAATTGTTTCTAGTCTTGATATAATACCCCTGGGATTCTCTTCTCAGTTTTGGTTATGCACAATAAACCTGACCATGTCAAATTAATTACTACACTGGTTCCTGCTGAAAGTGATCAAGTTAATTGAAGGGCACAGAACATACGTTCTTTTCCTTGCTATCTGTTCCTAATGAACTCTTTACCTTTGTCTCACACTAATTCACTAAAGCAGAATATTGAGCAGAAAAGCCAAGCTATCAGAGAGATATTGCGACTTTCCTCAAAATATGTTGAAAAATAGTAGCTCTCAAACTGAACCTTTATTCATTGATTTTTTTTTTTGAACTTTTAAATCAAATTGTGCATAACAAGGATGCAAAGCAATTGGTAGTTTTTTACATTGCTGAAAAGAGGGTGCATAGTTGCAATTTTTTTTAAAGTTTTTCTAGTAGTATCTGTCTTAAGACTCAACACCTCTATTCCTTGGCAAATATTCAAAATAAATGTGTTCACCCCAAAACATTAGCTACTTTAGTTGTGATGGCTCAAAACTTTAAACAAGGCAAGTGGACATTATGAATCAAATGGTAAAAACATTTTTCCACAAAATGAAATTCTGCCAAGCAATAAAATGCGAAAAAACTGACACTTTTACAATATGGATGAATTTTACAGACATGTTGAAAGCAGGATGTCAGGAATAGAATATAATTCTACTATGTTGATGTATTTAAAATAATCAATGGTGTTTGATATTAGAATTATGGTTGCTGGCAGATATATATTGACTGGGACAGATCACAAGTGAAGCTCTTGTAGTTCTGTAAATATTCTTGCAGGGAAGTGGCTAAACACATATAAACATGAGAACTCCAGTGATTTGTGCAGATGTACACCTATAATGATTAAGAATGTAATTATTTTTGAAGCCTATGTGACAGTTGACACCTAAATCCATATAATTCCCCCATAATATAAATGTATAGATACAGAAAACTATACAAGTTTTAAAAAAGTGTTCTGTTCTGTTTTTCTTTTAGTGTCCTGAATTTAAAAGACCCAGGGACATTGCAGTTGACTGGGTTGCTGGGAATATTTACTGGACTGATCACTCCAGAATGCACTGGTTCAGTTATTACACTACTCACTGGACCAGTCTGAGGTACTCTGTCAACGTAGGGCAACTGAATGGCCCCAACTGCACCAGGCTCCTAACAAATATGGCTGGAGAACCGTATGCTATTGCTGTAAATCCTAAAAGAGGGTAAGTTAATGGTTTGGTAGTTATATTATTGACATGAGTAATCCAGTTTCAGAGATTGTGCTCTGTTTCTGTTAATAAGTATTCAACATGTAACAGATTCACAAGACTTCTGAAAATTCCCAAACTTCTCTTTCCATACAAAAACATAACTTTTTTACACCAAATGGTGATATATTTTTCCTGAAATGTTGCAATCTCATACATTGTATACACAATAGTATTTGTATGTTTCTGTGAATATCTTCACTTGTATATGTGACTTATAAAATAATGATACTTGTGTTATGATCACATATACTACTACTGTTATTCTCCAAGTGAACTTTCTAAATATTAAACACATTAAATGTAGAGTATTATATTAATGCTGTTGGCTATTTTTGATAATAAATGATGAAATATATATATACATATATATATATACAAATTACTTGATACAAACATTTTCTTTTTATTACTTGAAGAAGGAAACCTACAAATAATGGGAAAAAAAGAACAGGAAAACGTCAAATGATACTCCAAATCATCCACAAAATTACTAGATGCTAAGTAAAAAGAGACAATTTCAACTATCAGAATTGCACAGTGTGATGTCTTCTAAGCAAGAGAATGATTTCTGTTTGATGAAATAGTGACATCACTATTAAAATAAAAGTTGCATATTGGTACATCATTCATAATAAAATGAATATTTGGTCACAACTGGAGGCATAATTACAGTGATGGAAATTGTTTTGTTCTGTGGTTTTAATGGAATTTTCAAAATTGAACTTTGGATATTAAATAATGTGCTATCATGTTTACTATTAAGAATGTTTTTTTAAATGTAGTGAGTTTAGGTAGGACTTTATTTAAATTGTTGATTTATGCTTTTCTATTGGAGGTTTCCATTTTGTAGATTACAGGTTGGTTCAGAAATATGCTTATTAAGGGACTCTGGAGGTAACCACACATGTGGTCTGAGGAGGCAGTGCTTTTGGAGCAGAGATGGGTTATAACAGCAGCCTCACTAAACTAACTTATGTGACCTGCTCTCTTCAGGATGATGTACTGGACTGTCATTGGGGACCACTCCCACATAGAAGAAGCAGCCATGGATGGTACTCTGAGAAGGATTTTAGTACAAAAGAACTTACAGAGGCCCACAGGTATTTAATGTTTCTGACATATGTTGAAATGTTAAGCAGAATGCTAAATATATTAGTGTTAACAATTCTTTCTAGTTTTGTTGGCAATATAATCATTTTTACAGTGAAAAAAAATACACACACACACACATACATACACAGTATGATTTAGTGGACATTATTAACATTTCTTATTCTATTTTCTTGACTTGAAAGTCAGGTCATTATCATACTGTCATTATTATTACGGGAGTGTTATTTGAAAATCGCCTGAGTTGTAAAGGTATTAGTAGAATTTCACATGCATAAAAATTTGACAGGTTATGGCAATGTATTTGGGTATTTTTACAGATCTATGTTAATGTTCTGGGGGTAGATGATAATATTACTAGAGGATGAGAGAAGAAATGGACAAAGTAGAATGAATTTCTGTGAAAGACAGGTTTTATGATTCCTTGCCTTTTTATTTAGGGCTCTTGTCAATCTGACCTAGAAATCCATCCCAGAGATGGCATTTAAGCTATGATTCCAAATTTTTGGAACACTTGGAACTGTTCAGGATCTCAGGTCTTCATTCCTCCTGCATGTTCTTTCTCCCATGCTACTTCCTTCCCAGCTTCCCAATCTGGAATACCCATCTAGAATATCTCTCGTTAGCTGAATCTTTTCTGTCTCATAAGTTTTAACTTTAGTACTTCTATAATAATAAAACATTTCCAGGCTTCAGGCTCCTCAAGGATTCTCTGCCACCCACCCTACCTACTACACTCCCACTAAAAGAACAAAAGAATTATCTGTCTGTGTGCTTTGTTATCAAATCATTACACTTTGTAGTTTAAGATTTACTTGCATTTGGCAACTTACATTCTTGCTAAATTTTAACTTGACTTATGCCCTGTTATTCAATTAGTTTGTTTCTAACTCTTTAGGGGAGAGAGAAGTATTTGAGATCTAACATATTCATATAAGTGTGTCTTCATTTAATCAATATTTACAAATATTTGTAAAATGTGTGCCAGAAATGGTTCCAAATACTGAAAAAAACAAACATCTACAAATGTGAAGCAAGTCCCAATCTCACAAAACTTATCTTCCTGTAGAGGATACATTATATAATGTCAGTTTAAATCATAAGTGCTCTGTAGAGAAAAAAAATCATAGTAAGGAAGGGAAAATAATGAGGGATGATAGTTTAGTTACAATTATCAGAGAAGTTATCTCTAGAAAGGTTATATTTAAGGAATGACCTAAATAACAAAGAGGTAGTTAGAGGTGTGATTGTGAAAAAAGAGCTTTCCATACAGAAAGAACAGTAAGATACTGAGCTTCAAATATGTCAAAAACAGCAGGGTTAGTATACTTAGAGCCATGGCAACCATTCAGGAGAGTGGTGGTCACGAAGGAGGGAAGGTGGTAACTTCAATATGCTGTTGAAGACTAGGTTCTATGCCACCTTTATGGAGAGCCCCTTGAGTGCTGAGAAGTTAAGGGGTGTGATCTGCATACATACAATTTTAATTTTTTAAGCACAAGGCACTTTTTGTTAGCATTTGAAAAAAAAGTCAAATTTGAAGTTACAGGAAAGTGGCAAAATTAGTGAAAGAAACCTATAAAAAATTCCTCATGCTAAAATTTTACATAATCCCAGTATAAGTAACAGGTTTTCATTTCAAAGAATGACTCTGATAGAAGTTTGTGGAATTTCCTATAGGTGTGTTCCTTGGAGGGAGCCTGCAAAGAATTTATGTATGAAGAATTTATGTATTTTTCAGAAGAAACCAGGAAAAGGAAGAGAGAGAAAGGGAAAGAGCCCAGTAAAACTGGGTTCCAAGTAAAGTCCACTCTTGGTTTGAGACTCTAGGGATGTGATCTGGGGCATAAACCCCATGTCAGGAAAGGGTGGTAGATTTTCACATGCCATCTGTTATGGATTGGCTTTGGGCTTTAACTTACTAAGCAAGTCTGCTCTAATCAGTTGAGCATAATTTTCTGGGGGGAGTGTCAATTGTGAGTCTCTGCTGCTGGATCAACAAGTGGAGGATGTCTTTGAAAGAAGATCTGGGCAGGCAACACATGAGCTCCCACAGTGGATCTCAGGAAAGATGCATGCATGAAACATTCTTCCATGAGTTGGAACGCTGCTCAACATTTCAAGCAACGTAATGATGAAACTGATGGCACCACTATTTTCAGGAAATTAATTGAGAATGAAAAAGAATGAGGCATACCCAGATATGTGTTGAATTTGCAAAATGTAAGATTATTTTATGTCTAAATATATCCTTAGAGTACAGAGACTCTAATTCATAGTGGGGGCATTTGAATAAAGGAAACATGTTCTTTATTATTAAAGGAGTTACATACAATTGGCTTTGGATCCAAAGAGATTTACTTATTAGCTATGAGATCTCATAATGAAATTATTATCTTAAAATATAGGTACTATCATCATTAGCAAACCAAGAAGTAATAATGAATACCTGAAAATAATCCTGTATAAACTAAATGAGATAGTTCTGTAATATCAGGGCTCCAGTGTTGTATGCATAATATGTTTTGTTGATGAGTCATGGTGCATCTAGAAGTTGACAGGTTCTGTAATATAACATGAGCTGTAAACATAGTCTTAAATTCCAACACAATTACACAAGTTTTTTTTTAGCCAATAATGAATTATTGTACAGTTTTTTATTCAATTAATGATTTGAATAAGGCAGGTCTTCAGTCTTATTTCTTTGGCAGCATTTGTGAAAGGTATTGAATAAAACACAGACCAAGAGAGCAGGTAATTGTCATTGAATTCCCTTGACAAGGAAAAAAAAATAACATGACTTGGAAAGTTACAAGCAGATAGAAAGGGGATAATATATATGAGAAAAAGCAGAGATAGCCTACTGGAATTTATCAAATACAGATAAGGATAGAGAAAGAGATGGGAAGTGGATCCAAGAAGGATATAGAGTACATAAATGAATTGAATCAAATATCTTATTGCCTTAATTTGTTTATCCTACTTTTATTAAAAAGATGAATGTTTACTATATATCAAGCACTATTATTTATTAGAAATGGAGATGCTTGGATTCATGTAGCTTTTGGTCTAAAGTAGTGGACTATAAAAACAAAATAAAACCCTGCATATATCTGTGTGCACACACAAACACATGTGTAAATGGCACTATGGAGAAGAATAGAGTGAAGTGCAAAGCACATAGGTGTCACTCAAATATAGAGGGGAGGAAGGTTTTTCAGGGAGTTGAGTAAGAGTAAGTGCTAATCCATGACAAGGAGTAGGGTGGAGAGAAATGTTGGAATGCAAAGTAAATAGGTCAAAATGGTAGAAAATGGAATTGAGGAAAGCCAAAGAGCATAGTAAACAAATGACATGAAATGGAACTTGATACTTTGAAAGGTGATTAGGGACCAGCAGTTATAAGGTCCTAATGTCCCCTGCAATTACTATTGATTCATGTTAAGCAGGAAACCAAATCTGGTCAGATATCCATAAGAGCACCAGATACATCTGGAAGATAGTTAGAGTGAGGCTGTCTACCCCATGAATATTGTGAATATATGTGTTTTCTGCTCAAAAAATTGGCTTGAAAACTTCTATCTTGCTACAGGCATCAACTCTCAGAATATGTATATCAACCTATTCAACTAATATGTATTGAGCACCTGATATGCTTCAGGCATGATTCTTGAAATACGAGAAGTAAAAACATAGCCATAGTAGAGGGATGGGATGGGGACAGTAGAAATTTAATATTGACAAATAAATTCCAAAGTCAGTTTTAGGTATTTAATGCTATGATAAAAAGAGTGAAATTGCCAGAAGAGTTGGCAATGGTAGAGAGAAAGGTTGCAGTATAACATAATTAGGCTTCCAGGTAGGCTTTCATAGAAGGTGGGATTTGAGCACAGATGTGCAGCATTGTCACTCAGCCATAGGAAATGTTGTAGGTGTGCCAGGACCCAAGTTAAATCAATCAGATGGAGATATTTTACAGGTCATTAAAAACATTAGTTTTGGAACTCAAAATAGAACTAGGAATTTGGTTTGGGAAACTAGCAACAAAGCGGATATTCAATAATACTTGCATTGTTAAGATGAACAATGGATGGGTCAATAAGATCTCAAGGGTAGAATTTTAGGGAGATGCTTATATTGAAAAGAAGAAAGATGACAAGTGAAGACACTAAAGGCCTCCAAATTCTAGTAGGTTAGAATGTGGTGTCACCATAGCCAAAGAAGGGTTTCAAAAAGAAGATGGTATACATTATTGAGCAAAACACTGCCTCACATAGAAAAAGAATAGTAGAAAAATATAACCTTTCCATTTACATAGATATGTTAAAATTGAACAAGCTGAATGAACTTTTTATCATCAATCTTCTTTTTTAATTTTATATGTATATATATATATATTAGTTGTAGTTAGACACAATGCCTTTATTTCATTTTTTTAAATTTGGTGCTGAGGATTGAATCCAGTGCCTCACATGAGCTTGGTGAGAGCTCTATCACTGAGCCATAACCCCAGCCCCTCATCAATCTTCTTATTTTTGAAATATGATCATTAACTTACATATAATGTGTAATGATTCATTTAAATCAGTTGGTAAAACCAGTATGAATTTTCTTAATTGTGTTAGAGCTAATAATAATTATAAAATGGTGTACTTTTTCCTAGGGTAAAGCCTTGAATTCCATATAGAGTCTACCATAATTTCCTAACAGCAATGATAATTTATCCATATCCATTTAGTATATTTTGTTTAGTTTTATTTGTTTTCTCATTGTATGTTTATTATTATTCCTAATATAAAAAAGAAATTGACCAATCACATGTAAAATCTGTTACTTAACTTCATTGCCACGTGCTTAAAATTTTCTTCAGCTTCTTCAAATGACATATTTGCACCTATGTCTAAGATACAGTGTGCCATATGATCTTACCTATAAGTAAAATCTGAAGTAGTTAATCTCATAGAAATTGAGAATGAATAGTGCTTACTAGGCACTGGGGAGAGCAGAGGTGAGCAACTGAGTCCTGTCAATGGGCACTGTGCCATTGAACAGGAGGAATAAGGACTGATATTTTCTGACACAGCACAGTGAATATAATGGACAATTATGTATTGTATACATTGAAATAGCACAGAAAATAACTATGAATTATTTTATTAACATTACAAATGATGATGTCGAATTCTTGAGTAGGATTTTATTACATTGAGCAGAAACATATCTTGATGTCATCTTCATAGTGTTTAATGACTCCTGGGTATTTGTTTTGCCAACTGTTATTGATATACAAATGAGTTTAAACAATTGTCAGGAGATTTTTAAGAAACAATAGTTCATTTTATTTTCATAAATGGTATTACTAAAATGTAGTAACAAAACATTGGCAACCACTAAATCATTATTCTGCATTTACATGCATATTTACATTTTATGTATGGGAAAACATGTACAAATATATCCTAGAAGGTGTCTTTGAATGGAAATACATTCACGGCTATGTATTCCCAGTAATACCCTGATCAGTTTTTTTGTCAATTTTCTCTCTGTTTTCTTGGAGTGTATAAATATTTGCTCTGACTTCAGGATACCATATTAAAATCAGTAAGTACACTCAGAGAGAAAGAGAAATGCTTCTCTTTCTCTCTGAGTGTAAAATCTTATTATTTTTATTGTGGGTATATAAGAGAAGCTATCTTTCTAATGTCATGCATGGACATGTAAAGGCAGTGAGATACTGTACACTTGGTTATCCTCTTACTTTTATCAGGATACAGTTATCACCATAGATGAGCAACATATTTGGTGTAACCCTTGTGAATTCCAGGGTGCTCAGAGCCATAGCTAAGTAGGTATGACACATGGCAATTTCCTTGTCAGCCTACACAATGTTGCTTAGAGGGAGGACTCTCCATTGTGGAAATGGGCTTGCCTTGGACTCAGGTCATTTGCAGTGACATTGCATGAATGTTTGAGAGTTTTGGTTTGAAAGGTGACCTTGCTCTTGGATTAAGGTGGCTCCAGGTTTAGGGTGGATCCTGCTGGATTAGGGTGGCTTTGGGTTTAGGGTTTAGGGTGGATCCTGCTGGGAATAGGGCGTATCCTGCTGCCTCAGGTGCCAGCTCCTTGAGTTTCCCATGAGTTCTTACAGGGCCCGGTGGAGGGTGTGTATTTTCCCAGAAGGTGCATGTAGAGTGCCGGTGAGAGTTTGGGAATAAAGAGTTGCTGTTTGAATCTACAAGGCTTTTGTGGTGGCTCGATTATTTTGTTCCCAGCCAGACTGCGGCACTTGGGTTAGAATTCTACCACCCAATCAAATAGCCCAGCACACCACCACCATCACCATCTTTGCAAACTTGGCAACATCATGACAAGAGCACTGCAGTGCTCTGGGATTTTATCAAACACTCATTCTTCTCATTCTTTGGACTCCATCATCTACTGCTTTAATGGTGCAGTCTACCATTAACTCATCAATGTATATATTTGTGCCCAAGACTGTAACTGACTTAAACCTCATCTGTTGTTAATATTTTCTTGTTACATCCCTTATATACTATTACCTATAAGTAGTCTGTGCTTAAAACAATTATGTGTTGAATGAAAGAACAGATGGATACCTGCAATTTTAACACTGTAAGCCTTGGGATGGTTCCAAGGCCTTCTTTAATAAATGGCACACTTTTGTTTTGTTTTGTTTATCAGGCAGGATGATAAATAAAATAATCTTAGTCTTATTTTTCAGTCTCTTATATTAGTTGAGTAGCAAGTACTTGCCCCACCAGTGTGTGTCAGATAAAGTCACTTTCCAGTTTAGCTTTATAATAGGAGCGTTTAGGATTCCATGAGATTGATTTAAATAACACATCCTTTGAAAGCTAGAGGCTTGTTGCTATTGTTTGCTATCTTCCAAATTGTGGCAATTTCAGAGAGAATGAAGGACTATATATTTATCCGACAACACTCATACTTATTTGATTCAGTAAACAGATTCATTTTCCTTGGCCACAAAGATCTCTAAATAAAGTGGATACAAATTTATGACTGTTTTACCATTTCCTTGATGCATTTATTTTAATAAAGCTGTCATATGTTTGTGTGTACAAGAGAGAGGGGTAGATTTTAATATATTTTGGAGTCTTTGATTCTAAGCAGACAACCAATCTGAAAATTAATTTTAACAATTTTTTAAAAAATAAATTTAACAGTGGTAAATACATTCAGTTATTTTAGCTTTTCTCAATACCTTTTAAATTGAGAGTATGTTAGGGATTACTTGATGACTTTTTCTACTATATAAATCCTTGCATTGCCTTAAAACAGAATGTATCTTATCCTTTCATCTATTTCTGAGGATGCAATGGTTGAAATGTATTATTCTAAGTCTTCTCTCAAATATCACATTGGTATTATGACCATTTCTCATAATATTTTTTTTAATTTTTATTCTTTTTAGACTATAATGGAAATATGGAAACTATTAGATTTTTTAAATTTCAGAGTCCAACAAAAGCAAGGTTCAAAAAGTTCTTAAAGCATGGTAGTAGTCTTGGCATTATGGAGGGAGATGGAATTGAGAGAATCACTACTTGATTAGTGCTGTTACCCTGTATCACTGAAATCTAGCTTTCATCTTTGTCTTTTATAAACTTTTTAATTTATGATTTGTGTACTGAATTAAAATCATTATAGTATTTTAAATTTTCTGTACTTCTGCTAATTCAATTCCATATATTTGTCATTTACAGTTCAGATACGAAAGTTTCTTGAGAATTTTTTTTCTTGTTTTGTTTTTATTTTTCATTGTATCATTGGTACTTTATTAAAGACAAAAGAAGGTGGGATACTTTAAAGAAAGTCATGAGCTTGTTCTTTCCTATAAACTTGACATTCATTGATACCACAGGAAAAGTTAGCTGATTCCTTTATTAACTTTTTAATTTAAAGACTATCTCTTTTATTAAAGGGCTTAAGGAAAAATCAAAAATCATTGATTTGTGGATTTTTGTAATATAAACCCCATTCATCTAAAAACTTTGTTGTATAATTTCTATCTAGATGTAATTCCATCCAATAGCACATGTGACAAAAGCTGATAAAATTGAGGATATCTTGAGCAAGCATAGAGCAGTAAAGCAATATATGGCACTTTTAGTAAATTTCAGAAATCATATTGTTAATTAAATTGGATCACTCACACATTGTTTTCTTCTTTTCCATGATTAGCAAATTTAATAGTTTAGGTGTAAAGCCTGTTTTTTTGGACAGAGGGTTTTGTTTTATGTGAATATTTTATTACCTCCTTAGAAAAGAAGGAAAAGTGTTTTCAACCTTTCTTAGGTGACTACTTTGAACTATAATAGCACCAGCAGGAAATTGGAACACTTTATGGTTCATGTTACTCATGATTTTACAGGAAGTAGCAAAAACATAACTCTAAACATGACTCAAACAAGACAGTTAATCATTGAGCAGAAACTAGTAAACTATGAAACAGTTGCATTAATTAATTGTTATATCCTTTCACAAAAGCTAGTTAGACATGATAATACATATATACATATGTATTTACTTGAAGAGCAATATTTATATTTAGTTTGATTATATTTCAGTTAGATCTACATGTTTAACTTAAAAGTTATTCACAAATTACTTTCACCATAATTTATGTTCCATTTTGATTGTTAAGTCTCCATTTATCTGCATAGAAATACAAGTTTTACATAAACTTAAAATACCTTTCATTCCATGGTCTTGATTTTGGCTGTTTATTAAATGTTGAAATTGTAAAAATTCTGTAACATTCATCTGCAAAATGTATTTTAATTGCATTGCATCTTCAAAGTATGTTCCATGTGACATCTAAAGATTAGATAAATCACAGAAAATAGATATCTACAGCAGTGAAGATTTATTATAGAATTCATATGTCATAGATCTTATTCTTCTAAATTGAAGAAACTTTACTCTCTAGAATACTCTTTGTGTTGATGATATTTTTGCTGGGATAGATTCCAATCAGATTTACAAAGTCAAAAGGTAAAAATTAGATAAGCAGAAGAACATTATTGTTTTTCCCTATATCATTTTTATTGATTGTTATTCACTGACAGATACCTATGATGAAATTGAAGAAAAGTAGTCTCAGAGAAAAAGCTAGAAATTCAAGCACCATAGGACCTTAATGAAGGACTTTACCATTCATTTCTTTCTACTATAAATATCAATCTTTAGTCACTTTAAACATCAGAACAGGTATAGGTGACTTACAATAACACATCATAGGCCAACTTGTCGTTAAGTACACCTTTTATATTATGAGAACTGTATCTTCAAGAAGAGACTTAAAATGTAAGAATTACCCCCAATTAGCTCTAAAAAATGTTGGATAACAGATTAAATAATGTATTCATTCTGTGTATAGTATAAGCATAAAAATATAGAAAACTGGTAGGGAATAGCCAAAATTAAGAAGGTAGAAAGTATGAAAAGGACTGATATGTAAGATCTCTCTTCCTGTGTTAGGTAAGACTTTTTTACTTGCAGCTTATTAAATAAAAGCTAAGTAATCTAAGATAAGGATTGATTTGAGATAAGGTTTTCAATTATTCTGAATTCTACAGTACCATGATGAACAACGGGTTATTTCTGTGATGCTTGAAAACAACTACATGAAGAAGTGAAATCATACTTTTAAATGATCTCAGATTCCATTATTTGTCTATGTTTGCAGGTCTGGCTGTGGATCATTTCAGTGAACGCATATACTGGGCTGACTTTGAGCTCTCCGTAATTGGTAGTGTTCTGTACGATGGCTCTGATTCAGTAGTCTGTGTCAGCAGTAAACAAGGTTTGTGAGAGGCTTTTGGTTTTATTTTTGTTATTGAGAGTATTAAATCATAACATTGATATAATTATGAAAGCTTTGCATTATGATTTTTCTTGAATTATGTCTCCTTTTTCTTTGCATTTCTTTTATTGATTAAAATGTTCATTTGTACTAGAATATCAGAGAGACCAGGGCAGAGGACATTCTTGACTTGGAAAAACATGGGCCAGGCTGCCAGATTCAAAAAGTAATTTCCTTCTATGGATTCTGTGGTGTTCCATTTTGAGCAGGATACATCAAATAGGCAAGAGTAGAACATGTAGACCCTTCTTTTTTTTCAAATTTCTGTAACAGCATGCAGGAAACAAATTATTATATGTAATAGAACTTCATAGTAACCATCACTGGTACCGAAGGACCCCATTATCCATGTGAAAAATAGCATATAGAAAATGACAATTTCCTCTACTGCTGGTGACCACAGAATTCTAACTGTGGCCTTTGGGTACTGCACCCACTCTTATTTTTGCTTCTTCCTGTCTCATATTTTTACTCTCTCATTTTGTAGCTCCCTGCCGTCTCTCAAACTTTCCTGGTCTGACTGTATCAGATGTCTCTACTGAGTCTAATTTCTTCCCTGTGACTTTTTTCCTTCCCTCCCCTGCAACCCCTTCACATATGTACCTCAAGTTATTTATAACACAAATTTTCAGTCTTTATTTTGGCATATTGCATTTCTTAAATAAAGGATAACTTCCTTTTATTTGTTTATTTTTAAATGGGGAAGCTGGAAAAAATAATTCTATCAAATTTTCACTGTGCATCTCCCTAAACGGTATGATTTTTGTATCAATGTCCCAGATGGGAAAAGTCTCCATGATTTTTGAATCAGTTAGCCAGATGGAGAAAGTTTACATTTCTGTACTATATTAAAATAATGTTAGCTTGTTTCAGCTTAAATGTACATTTTATTTTCTTAAGGAACACCGAAGAAGAAAATATATAAAATTAAATGTTACTTTTTGTTTTATAACCTCTAGATCATAACATATAAATGTTTCTACTTGTTACAAATTTAATTTACCAAAAGTTGGATTGATGGTTGTTTTGATAAAATATCTTAAAATTACAGTCACCAAATGTGAAAATTGATGGTCATTATTATTTTTAAACAACAATGTCATGTGAATGATGGCCGTTTGCTACTTTGTTTTCCTTATCCTGTTTCTAGAACACATTATAATAGTGTCAAAGATTTTTAACTCATGATTACCAGTCAGTCCACCATTCTATTTAATTACTAATTGGATCCAGAATACGAATTTAGAGTTTAATGAACTGCCTGTTTTGGTGCTACAAGTGAGGTTAGCCTGTACCTAGATTTTTATTTGTTAACTGTATAGAAGAAAAAAAATTACTCTGCATATAATGACCTCTAGCAAATGCTTGGTGATGTCGAATATGATTAAATTAATGATTGAAATGTTTTTCTAAATTCTGAGTGACATGCTTAGTAGTATCTCTTATATCTCCACTTCCAAGAAATTAATTCCATCAACTTCTAAGCTAATATTAAAATATTCCAATTCTGAAAAATTTTCTTAAAGACCACAAATAAGATTTTCTATGGTATCTTGGGTAAACTTTTTTTAAAATTTCAATTTATGTATTACAGCTTTTATAATCCTATCTTTTAAAAATTCCAGGATTGTTACATCCACATAGGATTGATATCTTTGAGGATTATATATATGGAGCAGGACCAAAAAATGGTGTATTTCGAGTACAAAAATTTGGACATGGTTCAGTAGAGTATCTGGCTTTAGATGTTGATAAAACAAAAGGTGTTTTGATATCTCATCGCTATAAACAACTAGACTGTAAGTACAATATTTTTTAAAAGTTGCCTACATTTGTGATTGTTTTCTTTTTATCTATTAAAAGTGCACACTTTTGCGAGGCATAGTGTCTCATGCTTGTAAATCTCTTTAATCCCAGAGACTTGAGAGGCTGAACTAGGAGGATAACAAATTCGATGACAGCCTCAGCAACTATATGAAAAGGTCTGGGGAGGTAGCTCAGTGGTACAGCATACCTGAATTTAATCTTTCACATATGTATGTGTGTGTGTGTGTGTGTGTGTGTGTGTGTGTGTGTGTGTGTATTCCTTAACTATTTCAAGTTTTAACCCCAGTAGATTGAGTAAGTTTAATGTTAGTAACACCAGACTTTTTAAATTAGGGAAGCCAATATACAGATAATGCCTAAGTTTCCATTTCTGGTTTAACAGGTATGAAAGTGTTCAGCATTTGGCTGAGTACTTTGGAATTAAAATTAATTTTGTTATAAAAGTTATCTATTATTTTTTTTCTAAGATACTGAAGAAGACCTTAGGCTTCTTTAGATGAACCATGCAATCTAAGGAATTCATAGTTCATTAGCCACTTTGACCCTTGTTACTGATAACCAAGTAATTACCATAGCATTAACATTCCAGTCTAAAAAATAGCCAAGAACTCTTTCCAACAGTTGTACTTTTATTTGATTTATAGTTTATGATTTATTATTATTATTATTATTATTATTATTATTATTATTATTATTATTATTATAGCTTTCCCTTATAGAAGGGAGTAGGAAAATAAATCACTGAGGTAATTATCCTGAAAAATATGTTTCAAATACATTTTCAACTTCAAGTGGCTTTACTTTTAAAACACAGCCCTAGACTGCACTTCAGGTTCTAAGAGGAACTCTTACGCCAAAAAACAATTAGTCACAAGAAAGAGTGACAAAGTATAGATTTGAATAGATTCTTATTCCTTTTGGAAAGAATGATTTGGGCAATCATACTGTTAATGAAAGGTAGTAATTTCTCTTCCTCTATAAAAGAAAAATATAACATCAAAATGAAATACGTGCAGTAAAAATTGATTTAATTTCTTTTTAATATTGCAAATTTATCATTTTACCTTATTGAATTTTATGTGTTTGAAACCTATTGCAAGTATACTTATATATTTCTTTGCTTTTTTTGTTTTGTTTTCATTAGTACCTAATCCTTGCTTGGATTTAGGATGTGAATTCCTCTGTTTGCTGAATCCTTCTGGGGCCACCTGTGTTTGCCCAGAAGGAAAATATTTGATTAATGGAACCTGCAATGATGACAGTCTGTTAGGTAGGTATTCTCCATTTTTTAGTAAATAATGAATTAGTCCTTGTGATAAATTTTTACAATTATTACTGAGCATAATTTCCTGTTCTTTTATCAATTTAGCTGCCAGGATATCAATGATTATTGAATGTCTCTGTAAACTGTTCTTTCTGACAAAGACTTCCTATTAATTCATTCTGCATTTACTCACAAACATTGAGCACTTGACATGCACTGACTAAATCAGGAACTATGAAGTTACAGAATCAAAGACATTTTTATATAGCTCTCGTATTATAGAAGATAATTTTTTGGAGATGCCCTTCTGCTGTGGGTTTAAACCCAAACCCCAAATCTGATTATTTGTTCATTAAATTCATTTTAATACATTCCTATGGGCAAATGATAATTTTGAAAGCAGACGTTAAGTTATAAACTGAATCTCAGTTTCTTTCATATAAAATCAGATTTACAACAAATACTATTACTTCTCTGATTTACAAATGTGTAGAGGGCTTCTGATCAAGGTAAAACATTGGTTTAGAGACTAAGAACCAATTTAGAAATAAATCTGAGAAAACTCCTCATGCAGTTTATATTTGAGAAGCCAAAGTTTAGAATAAACAGTAAAAAATTGAGTTTGGCAGAATTCCCTTCTTAGAAAATATTTCATGGAATACTTTGAGGGGGATTGGTATTAGTTCTTTAAAGGTCTTGGTAGAACTCGGCTATGAATCCAGGCAGAGCTGGGCTTTAATTTGCTGGAAGGCTTTTGATGGCTGCTTCAATTTCATTACTTGAAATTAATCTGTTTAAGTTTTCTATATCATCCTGGTTCAATTTGGATAGGTCAGATGTCTTTAAGAATTTGTCCATATTTTCAAGATTTTCTAACTTATTGGAGTATACATTTTCAAAATAGTTTCTGATGATCCTCTGGATTTCAGTAGTACCTGTGGTAATATTTCCTTCTCCATCTTGGATTTTAATAATTTGAAGTTTTTTTCCATCTTTCTTTTTTTTTAGCTGAAAAAACAATAAAAATTTGAAATATCATTATAGATACAAAGTGTTAAATAGGGAAAAAATAATAGAAAGAACAAACTAGGCTTTGCATGGTGGTACCAAACTGTAATGCCAACAACTGGGAGTCAGAGGCAGGAGAATCACAAGTTTGAGGCCAGCCTCAGCAAAAGAGGAAGACCTTGTCTCAAAATAAAGTATTAGAAGAGCCAGGGATGTAGCTCAGTAGTAAAGTGCCCATAGGCTCATCGCAAGTACCAAAATAAAAAACAAAATTGTGTGATATAAAAGCAAAGGAAGCATTGTTTCTTAAATATGCAGGTAGACTGATAATAAGCTCTCTCATATTGAAGACATTAGTCCTAATGTGAAAATGTTTTTAAGAGAAAATAAAATCTATACTTACTAAATTTATGTCACAAAACATATACATATACACATATTTACATATACAATATGTATAACATGATATATATTATATATAATACATAAAATTTCCCTTAATTTGCATAAAACCCAATGATAATATACTGTGATTTCTCATATTTTACTATATAAGAAAATTAAAGCATTGAGAGTTTTATTAATAATTTTTTCTCATCTGTGACAAAAACACCTGACAAGAATAACTTAGAGGAGAAAAGGTTTATTTTAGTTGATGGTTTCAGGGGATTGAGTTCATGATTGAGTGGCTTCATTACTTTGGTCCTGAAATGTGACAGAACATCATAACAGAGGAATGTAGCAGAGGAATTTGGCTCAGTTCTGGAAGCCACAAAACAGAGAGATAGAAAGGGGCTGAGGAGAAGATAAACATTCCTAGACATGTTTATTTCATGCATGAAAGAAGGAAGCTTGTTTAAATACACACTTATGCAAGTCTAAAACAGTTTTGGAAATGTTTACTTCACCTCTACTTGAAAGGTGTGACTCCAGAAACTTCCTCAAACCTCATTCTTATGATTGAAAAGAAAATCTTAAATCTAATGAATGTTAGGTAATATTCAATTTGATCTCCATGCATTTAAGCCTTCATACTGGTCTGAAGTACTTCAATCAGGAATGTAAATATGTAGATTTCAGAACTGTTATATTAGTATTAGTATTTTTTTTTTTAAATTGGAGTTGAGGGACTTATCTCACTATGTTGCTTAAGCAGGTCTCAAAATCTTGGTCTCAATTGACCCACCTGAATTAAGCAAACATATTGTCATTTTAAAAATTGTTTTTTAAAAAATCTCATCCTATATTCAATTATTTTCTGGAGATTGCCACATGCATTTACATAGGCATCTAAGATTTTTTTATGTTAAAAACTAACTTGCCTGGCACGGTGGCACAGGTCTGTAATCCCAGAGGCTTGGAAGGCTGAAGCAAGAAGATCAAGAGTTCACAGCCCACCTCAGCAAAAGCAAGGCACTAAGCAACTCAGTGAGACCTTGTCTCTAAATAAAATAAAAAACGGGGCTGAAGATGTAGCTCAGTGGCCAAGTATCCCTGAGTTCAATCCTTGGTACCTCCCCTGCAACAAAAAACTAACTCACCTCTCTGTTTCCTATTATCCTCATCTTCCCATTTTGTTGTCCTGATCAGAAATTGAAGAATCATCCTAATTTTCCTTTATTTTCTTCAGAAATTAGGGATGCGATGCTCATTTCAGAATTATTGTTAGAATAGTCCCACATTTACTCACCTCACATTATTCCATTTGGGGGCATCATGTGACCTATTCAGAGGATTTAAATGAAGTCCTCATGATCTCCCTGCCTTCAGTTTAACACCTGCCACTACATTCATTCTCAGCCTTCTTAGATTCTTCAAGTTTTCTACGTTACTTTTATGAAAAAAAAAAACCCACAATAAAACATCCAATGACTTTCTGTTATTCCTGCTTATCTCTTTAAGGACACTTACCTCTTCTAATTTCTTTCCTCACATTCTTTAATCCAGGTCCAGGCACAGAAAGTTTCTTTCAGTTCCTGGACCTGACATGCATAAATGTGACTTTCCTTGAGCACTGTACTCAGCATTCCTGGTGGGCACTCAGGAAACAATTCAGACAAATGTCTCATGCTTATTTTGCCAAATAAGTGCCTTACCTGCTTGTTGAAGTTTAGCAATACACCCTCTGAACGCAACTTTAAGCTTTTCATCTTTCTACTAGATGTGAGCTGGAAGTCAAATTGTCTGTTGTGTTTATATGTATGTGGTATATACTTAGGTACTTAGTATTTACAAACTTTTGGCATTTTAATATTTTCCCAACTTAATATTTACAGAAAATCTGAGTTAAGTTGTATTTTTGTCACTAAGTTCCTTTTATACTATGTATGTAAATGAGACTTAGGTAGGTTAACTTGTATGTTTAATAAAGTGACCAAATGAGGCCATAAATACAGGTTTTATTACACTTTTCTTATTTTCTTTATATTATATACATTGCCTTATGAGTAAGTCCTTCTTATAAATGCAAAATTTTGGAATATCAGTGTGAAACTTACACATATAGAAAATAAGTCATTGAAGTCGATCCAGATGTTCTTGTGATCATTACAGTGGTATAGTCAAGCCTATGTCATGCATGGGCCAATGTACTTTGAGTGATAAATAAAGGCTTTATTGATTTCATGTAATTTCACCATGTAAAAGACACAGCTTTAGCAAAGGGCATATTCTAAAACAGAATGCTTGTTAACATATTTTCAGTTTTGTTCCATTGAATATTGTATCCTGCTCAAAGTAATACAGTATATTTCTAATAAAGGACAGGCAGGTCAACACACACATAAAAGTCACTTGGAAAATGATTATAAATCAATATTTATTTTAAATCATACTAATATATTGTTTAAGATGCTTTTGTATACCCCTAAATGATCATTTCTTATTCTCAGGCAAAATCTTATTTTGTAGTAGATAGGTTATGCCAAATATTTAGGAAAAAAATGTTCCATAATTTCTAAATATTGTTTTTGACTTATCATCATCTTGCACCAAATCTGAATGGGCTTCTAGTTTGGCATATTTTGTATTGTTAGTGAAGACTGACATCAAACAGTATCTTTTCATTTAAACATTTCTATAATATAAAGTATATACAGATACACAAACACATACACCATGGGATGTGGTAGTGTGTTTGTATGTATGTGGATAGAAATGCTAAAATATATCCTAAATATTTCAATTTGATTTATTATCAGTTACTACTATGAAATAGATAATGTTTCTTCAAGTCCAAAAGAAAACTCCTTGGTAGTGAAATATATTACTTTTATAGACTTTCAGTTAGATTCATTATTTAATGCAAGATAATTTTAATAATTGGTTAATAATGCTTGAAGCTTAAAATGAAAAACAATTTAATGTTTTTATTCACTATCCAACAACTAGAATCTATTTCTCTGTTTTAGCTATTATTTAATTTTCCCCAACATTTATACTTATGTTAGTTGTTTTATGAAAAAAAAAAATAAGAATCTAAGATTAAAGTAAGTTTGTTTATTTGAACTGTCCTTACTAAATTGTGACCTGAACAAAATGCTCACCTGCATCTTTTTTCCAACCAGATGATTCCTGCAAACTGACCTGTGAAAATGGAGGGAAGTGTATTTTAAATGAGAAGGGTGATATGAGGTGCCATTGTTGGCCTAGTTATTCTGGTGAAAGGTGTGAAATCAATCACTGTAGCAACTACTGTCAAAATGGGGGAACTTGTACACCTTCAGTTCTAGGTAAGCATTTGAGTGCCATTGTATTTTCAAACTATTTGCATTTTTACTTCCTTATGAAAATATAAGTGAATACTTAATACTGCAAATATAATTCCCGACGTCTTGAGAAAATTAGTAAATTTTAACAATAAATTAACAAAAATTAAAATTAATAATTATTTCAACAGTGGCATTTTTTCTAAATTCAGTATCTCTATGGTCAGGTCACAAAATTTAATTAAAATAATGAAAATTACTATGTTGAATGTGTATTGCATGACAGTCAGTGCTTTTAGATAGTTTCACCATGACCCAGAATGACTTTAATGTGCCAATTTTCCAAGTCTTATGTGTTTAACTTCAAAGTCCATATTTTTTGTTGCAGTTTCCCTACAAATCATATTCAATTGTTATTGAAAATGAGGTTCATTTAAATGAAAATAAACTATACCAAACACATCTAAGATCATCTTGATTCTCATCTTGTAACTTATGTATTTCAAAGTGTAGTATAGAATGTTACTACATGTTAGTGAATTAATAAATATTTTACTTATCAATTGAGATATTTATTAATCTATGCAATAGCCCCCTTTATAAAAATATTCTCTTTGGAACATAAGTTAACATTGAATATGTTTGCCTACTGACTTGTATTAAATTCAAAATATGTTCCCATGAGAAAAAATAACCCCAATACATCATAAAAATCTAATTTTTAAATTCCAATATTCAGTGCAAGGGACATTATGCAACTATTAAAGTGCAATCTATGCACATTTAATTTTAGTACCATAAATGCAAATTTAGTTAGTCAAATGGAAAATCAATCTATATGATCTTCACATTCACTACATGGTTAATTTATATCTTAGTGAGAGTTCTTTCTGTCTGTATTGCTTACGGTATTCTTTGAAATATTTAGCATAATGCCATCTGAAAGAGTCACATGAAGAGTTTCCAATGGAGTTTAGAAACCAAGCTGTTTTTGATTTGCATTCTAATAGTAAAAGTTTGGTAGTTATGTCTTTAAATATTCTTGATTTATGATTAATTAATAATTAAGGTATTCTAAGTACTCAAGAGCATTCTGGAAATATATTTATAGTTTGATTGAAAGGCACTAGGAATTTTAGCACTTATCTTCATTCTGCTTAAGGGAAGCTTCTTCATACATAGAATACATTCTACTGCTGTAGGAGGAATTATAGTACTGGTTCCTTTATCAAAAATGCAAATGAGAATACAAGTTCAACAAATGTGTGTGAGTTTGTATTTTAGTAATATGCTTATCATTTCCTTTAGGAAAGAAGCATTTCTTGCCAAATGATTTGTTTAGGATATTTAATTATTTAATTGGTCACAAAATTTTCTTATTAAGATAATGAAAATCATTGGGTTGTAGTGAGATGATTTACTTATAATTATCTTTAGTAACATTTAATCCAACTGAACCATTTGATGATCCATACTATGGCTAACCATTCAACTTGTGAAGAATCCACACGATCGAATCTCTAGAAAACACTGGATCTGCTGACTTATTAATGAATCCTGAATTGCATGTAGGCATAGCACGTTTAATGTTATGTTCAAATCATTTGTCCAGACCTTGCTGCATTCTTAAAATCTGTAACATATCAACTTTATCTATGTATTCAAATATTTAGATATTAAGTTCCATAGATGATATGTTCAGGAAAATTGCATTGCAGATTACCAGTGTTTAGTGAGTTCTCATAGGAATTCAATGTGAGATATTGCCATGTAATATATTGTTTTACAAAATTCAGTAATTATTAATAATTTGATATCCAATTAAGTCATTTACAAAGCACTTTTCACTTTTAAAAAAATATAGTTTTATAAAAACATTGTTTGGTATTACAGACCAGAGAACATCATTATGTCTACACAAATGTTAATTTGTTAAGAAAATCCCAATGGGCAATTAATTCATGGATTTATTCATTGTTGGTTTACTTACGGTTAAGCCTTTTGGCAAATTCCTGTGTGGACACTATATATAAAGTTGTGTTTGGGCAGCATTAATTAAAATTTATAAGTTTATGACAGTTGTATAGGACAATAATAACTGAACAAAGAATATGCCATCAGTTAATTAAAAGCACACATATGAGAGGCATAATTAAAATTTTGCTTGTGGGAATGAGTAAGAACACTAAAAATAGAATATATGAGTTATATTAATGTAGAACAGTATTAAAAATGAAATATTTTGACATTTATTATATGAATAAGGGTCCATGTAATTCGCTTATATGACCTGTTAATAGGAGGATATATTTAAGATAAAACTGCCATGAGAAAAACAGTGGAAGTCAGAGTAAAGCATAGTATTATTCAATCATTCTATTATTGAAAATATTGAATAATTTATTAATGTTTTATGTATCATGGATATCATTAAGACATTTATGCAATTAACATCTATATTTGCATTTAATTTTACTTTCATGAATACTTATCCTCTAAGGTATATTTGACCTGTTTGATATTTTCCTTACTCTTACATGCCTGCTATTTAGACTTTTAATGATTTTAATAAGAGGAATCAGGGTTACCGACATAGTTGATTCAGGGGAATGAAACTAGAGTGTTTGTAAATTGGGACAACAAACCCAAACACTTCCAATACCAAAGTTTGGAATTTTGCAGAGGAGAAAGGCAAATCTTACTTTGGGAAGTCAGACACAAAAGTGGGACTGACTCCATAAAGGTGACAGTATAATCATGTACGCTAGGCAATAGTTTAAGTGATGAATATAATAGGAAGACAGGAGAAGCCCATTGTGTAGGTCTGTTTCTACATCAGTGGGCTTTGTCAGTGAAGGTTTATTTCTAGAAATGAAGCAGAAGGATGAAAATGGACCCTGTTGTTGGGAATAAAATCTTGTTCCATGATGGGAGGGGCCTTTATAATAGGAGGTGGGTAGATGGGGAGAAGTTTCCTTCTTAGTCATTCAGGAGTTTTCTGTCCGACAACTGCCCCAAATCAGTGGAAAGATTTACTCAAAGACAGGTTACAGTAATAACTCTTGGACACTCAATAACATCATGGAACTTATATGAAACATGAACTGAAGCCTCTCAAGTCACCTAGGTGCCTAGTATGTAAAGTCAAAATCACCTAATTGGGTATCAATACATAGCCACATATTTAAACTATCCTCTCTTTCATATTTTATTTAAATGAGGGTGAGTTTTTTCTTTTAAATTAAACTTGACGTTCTTGCTTCTTTAACATAAATATTAATTATGTTTGGGAAGTACTAAAAGCTCAATATTTAGCTCTACTCAGTTCTTTAAAATTCAAGAGAGTAACCAACAATGTTAAAATAAAAAAAAAATAGCATATAAATTAACAAGTAAAAGACATTGGAATATATAACTCTTTCAAGTAAAAAATAAAGTATAATAGGAGGAATTTGAGAAGCAGTAACTAGAGGGAGAATCCACAGTCATGAAAGAGCCAGCATTACTAAATTAGTACCAGAGGAAAATGTTAAGAATCTAAACGTGTAGCAAGCAATTTTTGAAAACTTCAGTAAGAGCTTTAAAATGTTTTGATATTCTTTATGTAAATAATGTCACTTTTAGAAGTATCCCCCAAGGATCATGTGATGATGATGATAATAATAATAATAATAATAATAATAATAATAATAATAAGGCAGCACAGAATATAGAAGTAAGCATATTCAATAGTGTAATTTGTGATATTATAAAATTTTGAATAAATCCTCAAAATCTGTTAAAATATGTAAAATATGACATGTCTAAAATGTATATAAAATATATATGAAATATGGCATGTCTAAAAGATGACCGTTATGTTACAAATGATGAACACATTCACAATTATATTTGATAATATAGGAAAGATTACATTTACTGTAAGACAAGAAGAACAATATATGAAACTGCTAAATAGTATGAGCCTAATTGGAAAAAAATCTGTACATGAAAGTTACTCTGAAAGTTTGATAAAATAAAATATGGTAAGTTAATTAATCAAACAAACATTCACCAACTACACTAACCTGAGGACAATGTAGGTCTTAAGCAGAAATAGTAACACGATTAGATTTGAACTTTGGAAATATTATACCAGCTGCAGTATGGTGAATGAATGAGTGTGAGATAAGATTAAAGGGAGGGAAAACAAGTAGGGCCGGTTATGATGCAGAAACAAGGTAGCCCTCTTGTAAGTGGAGGCAGTGAGATTAAGAGAAATTATGGAGTTGAGCATTACTAAAAAACTTTAAAAGTAGTGTGTACAAGAAAGGTGAAAGGCTGGGTGTATGCTTTAAGAGTTTAAAGCATACAGTAGAGAATCTAGATCTCCTGCTTGGTCTCTGTGGATGTCAGTGTCATTTACCAGGAGAGGAAACACAGGAAAAGCAGAGTTCTTATGGGAAAGATGAAATGGATTTTATCTGAGGTGCCTGTGGGACCTCCAGGTAGTGACATGTAACATGAGATTAGAATATAATTCTGGAGAAATTGCAGGGCATATGACAGAACCAAAGGCAATCATTGATGGCCATTATTATACAGACTTCCATGTTGGTTGAGTATATTTTCATTTCCCCCACTGGTCTACAAACATCAACAGTTCAAGGACCATGAACAATTCATTTTAGTGTAGTATGGTCATTCATAATTTGGAATTGCAACCACTAGCACTAACTGAAAGGAATCATCTAGATTTTGTTACAGTCCCTTAGTTTTCCTGATGTTGCTCAAAAAGAGTCTGTTGTTTCACTTCTGGTAATCTGTATCCTAGTACTAGGGTTGGATGTGGTTGGTCCCCCCAGTGACTCCTATTCTTCAGTGCAGTGGTGTCAAAATGTATGGCTTTTGGGAGATGATTAGGTCATGGTGCACTGTGTTCACAAAGGGATTAAGGTCTTTCTCCAGAGACTGGGTTATGTCTACAAAGACTGGATAAGGTCTCATGGGATTAAGGTTGGTCTCACAGGATTGGATTAGTTAGT